TTGAGATGCAGCAGAAGCTGCAGCACTTGCAGCAGTACATGCAGCATTAACAGCACCAGCTTCAACAGCAGATGTAATGGCACAAATAGCAGAAGCATCATCCAATGCTGCAATGGCAGCAAGAAAAGCAGCAACAGCAGCAACAAAGGCAGCTTCAGGAACAGCAGCACCAGACGCATTTAATGCAACTGCAGAAGCTGCAAAAACAGTGGCTCGAGTGGCAGAAGGAGCATTACAAACACTATCACATATCACTGCAAAAGAAGCAGCAGCAATGAAGCAAGCAACACTTTCAGCAATAAAGACAACAAAAACTGTGGCAGATATGGCAGATGCAACTGCAATTATAGCAGAAACAGCAGCACAAGCTGCAGCAGCAAGCAACACAGAGATAATGACATCAACAGCAAAAGCAGCAGCACAAGCTGCAACAGCAGCAGCAAATGCAGCAGAGAGTGCACTGCCAAACACATCTCAATGGACAGATGTAACACCAGTGCCAACTACTGTGACACCGGCACTAAGCAGTAATACCGCAATGCCATCTGGAACAACAGTGGCAACGACGGTTACAACCGCACCAGGAGCAGTGATGGCAAAGGAAGCAGCAGTGGTAGGGCTGACATCGACGGTGGCAGGGGGGGGGGGGGGGGGGGGGGGCAGGCATCAGCAGCAGGCACTGCTGCTGGACTAGCAGCACCAACAGCACCTGAAAATGCAGCAAAAGCTTCAAAACAAGCAGCAAAAGTTGCCTCATTAGTTGCAGCTGGAGCAGCACCAGTGGAAGTGGCAGTAAATGCAGCAAGAAAAACAGCTGAGGCAGCAGATGCCGCAGCACAAGCAGCTGTACAAGCAGCAGCAAACACTTCTCCAGCATCAGCGGCACTACAAGCTGCAAAAATAGCAGCATCAGCGCTGCAATCAGCCAGAGCAGCAAACAAAGCAGCAACAGCAGCAGCAGTGGCAGCAGCTGCAAAAGAAACACCTGAATCACTGTTAGCAGCTGCAGAAACAGCCCAAACAGTGGCCACAGAATCAGAACAAGCCGCTCAGGGATTACAGGAAATATTATCAAAGGCCACAGGCTCTACAGCAGAAAGGAACACATCAATAGCAGAGGCCCAAGCAGTGGCAGAGATTGCACATGCAACAGCCATAGCAGCAACAACAGCAATGAAAACAGCAGTAGAGGCAGCGTCGGCAACAACAGCACAATACGCAGCACAGCTAGCAGCAGCACTGGCATCATCAGCACAGCTGGCTACAACAGTTGCTTCAGCAGCGGCAACAGCAGCCGGAGCAGCTGTGTCAAGACCCTGCTCTGGCAACACAGCAACAGCAACAACACCCTCAGCAACAACAACGACAACATCAACAGTAGGAGCAGGAACAGAGGCGGTGACCCACACATCAGCTGCAGTCAGCAACAAGTTCAGCTTCTTTTCTGTTACAGTGGCTGTCATCACTGCTGTAAGGAGCAACAAATAGAGCTGCAAATAGAGAGAGAAAGAATTTGGATTTTTTGTTCCTTTGGCTACTAGCAACAAAAACATTTACTTTTCTTTTGAACTGAATACACAGTCTTGTAGTTATGAGCCTCTGTCGAGCAGCCAATGTCTCCATTCACATTAAAAATACATTTTTAACATTGTGTAGATGTTTATTCTCCATTACTATACATATATGGAAATAATAGCACTTTGTGTATCAATCTAATCAGTTAGTGAAGGTGTGATCATTTTGGTTAGTGGAGTTTGTGCTGCTGTAAAGTTTTATGTGACATGTAGCTGAGCCACTGATACAAAACAGTGGACAAAAGAATAGAAAAAGTGAAAAATCCACAATTAATGATTTTATAATGAAGTGAAGAGAAAAGCAACATCCTCAGCTGATCAACTAATCATTTCAGACGTGTCATAAAATGAAACTATCCATAAGTATATAAAAAACAACAGTGCATAAAATATTTAACATGAACTGAAACAGTGACATTTAAATGTTGCTTACATGTCAGTGCATCATTAATAATAATCACATAATATGTCCAAAACCATAAAGACAGTACCAGGGGCCTCTCTGCCTCCATTAAGAGTACTTTGACTTCATACATTTGTATCTCATTCAAGTAACACTGACTGCAGGACTTTTACTTACATTGAAGTATTTTACATTTTAGTATTGTTACTTTTACTTTAAGTAAATGATGTGAGTACATTCACCATTCATTATAACAGAAGACTGGATTATAGTTTTATCAGTGTACCTAATAAACTGAGAGCTGAGTGTTTACTGGACATGTTCTTGGACTGGCTTTCTGTGAAACAGTTTTTCAGAAGCCCGGCTCCATCTCATCTTCCATGTACAGATGAATCTAAACAAGCTGCAGCAGTGGCCTGAGGCTGTTATCCAGAACACTCCTCTGGGCCTCTGAAATGAACTCTGGTAGGGAGTTGCAGAGTCAGGCATGGTGCAGGCAGCCACAGTGGGAACTTCAAGAAATGCTTGCTAATTAGTGCATTCCAACTATCATTACTTAATGATAACTAACAGCAGACAAAAAAAACAACAAACTACTGTATGACACAGCAGCACAAATTATAGAAATTATCTCCATCACCAGTCATTAGAGCTGGGAACATCTGAATGTGTTTAAATGCTCCTGTGTTAGGAAGAATAGCACAGTCAGTTTAACTTTGCAATGTCTTTAAAACACAAAGGAGTTTCAGTGAGGCATGACAAGTCAGTGTTTAAAAGACAATGACTCAAGTGAATTAGAAGGCTGAAAGACACTGTAATCACAGAATATTTGACAGGGGAATATTAAACATACTGTTGTTAAATGGCATTGGGCCACTTTAGATAAAGATGCAGCACAAAACCATACCTGCTAATCAGGATGTGAGTCTGAACTGGCCCACATATGATGCAGCAAATATGGGACATTTATCTTAGAGTATATCTGGACCAGTTTTAGCAAACTTATGGCATAGTCGGCACTGGCTAATCAGGGAGTGAACCTAAGGTGGCCCACACAGGACATAGCAAATATGGGCCAAATACTTTACAACAAATTTGGACCACTTTTGGCAAATGTATGGCATAATCAGCACTGGCTTATTAGAGTGTGAGCCTATGTGCCCACATCTGAAATGATAAATACTGCTCAAATAGGGCTGAACAGTACTGGGTCACTTTAGGTAAAGATGTGGCATAAACAGTACAGGCTAATCTGCATATGAGCCTAAGTGGCCCACACAGGACACAGTCAGCAAAACCTAATCTGGGTGTAATAAGTCATTGGTCAGTCGTTATAAATGTAAACTCCAACCAAAACTAATCGCCCTTCAAAATAAAATAAGATAAAACAGAGTAAAATGATTCCCAGGCAATTTTGACTTAGCCCCTGATCTTTTCAGTAGCCCCTGCCCGTCAATGTAATCTGTGCGTTTAAGATGTGTTATGCATTGACTGGCCACTGTGGGGCGCTATAGCCGCCGAGCAGCAGTCGAAGACGACGGGAGTTGTTCCGGGAGGAGAAGAAGATGGTCACAGCTAACGTTAGCTAGCTGGTGTTGGTCTCGTAAGATGTTGTGCCATTGATTTGGGTTTTTTTGTCTTATACATTCTCCGATAGCGTCTCAGCCCGGGTATAAATCACTTTGTCGACAGTGTAGAGTGTCAGGAAGACAACAGTCATCAGTGTGTGTCCTTGGAGTCATTTAGTGAGTAGTTTTCAGGAAATTGCGTGTGTTTGTGTCGGAGGAGGGGGACGTGTCTCCTCCGGTCAGCTGTCCGTCAGTTAAACGTCAGGTGAGTTCACACTTGAAATTCCTGCTTTTCCTCCTTTTTTTTTTTACTTAAGTCTTCGATGAGGAACGTGGTGATTTTCCTCTTTATTTGTCAAATGCACCAATGAGAAAAACTTTACAAACTTCTTTGTTGCCGTAAGTTGCAATGATGAAGCTCCGTTTGTCCTGCAGGAAGTTCTAGTTAGCGTCGCTGCGTTACGCGTTCACAAGACTCGTAGTGAGTTTCTACTGTTTTTAATCAAATTGAAGAGTAATTCTACTATCAGTGAATCAGCGTAACACCCCACATTAAACTTAGTGTATTGCTGTAATGTCTCTGTAGTTTCTTCAGCTTTATTTTAGGCTTTGGTGAATTTTGTTCAATGCATTGAAATTGGCTAACGTAGTTGTGGCAAAAGTTATTTAAACTTAAACACATTATTACCGTTACCTTGCTTTATTTGGCTGTCCTCTCATTTTTGTGGTAATATTTAATAGACAGTTTTTATTGTCCCAAACATGGCACAGGCCCCAAGGCCTGATCCAAGTCTGATAATGCTTGTCGTTGGAAGGTCAAATGAAGGGAAGCAAAACAAGTGCTGGGAAAACAGGAGCAAAACAACCAAAGCACAAAATAACCAAAAAGAGACAGCAGGTGATCAAAAGAGAGATAAAACAAGTGAAAGCAGATGGCCACACTCGCAGCCGCAGTGCTCTTGCTGTTTTTCCATGCATGACAGATTATAACTGTTTGCTATTTCACTGTTGTAGAGTTTATATTGGTTTAAAATGTTGAATTTCAGTGAACTTGTGTTTTTACATGTTGAATGTGCTCCATGGCTCCATGTTTGGCTGGGTGTCGCAGGTGACATGTTTGTTCTCTCTGTGTATCCAGTGAGGCTTGTGGGAAGCAGCAGCCATGGCAGCTCCTGTAAACATCCAGACTCCCAGTAAGACGTGGGAGCTGAGTCTGTACGAGCTGCACAGGAGCCCTCAGGTAAACCTCGGTCTGTGTGTGCGTCCCAGAGGAGCTGGTGCTGTCGATACCACTGTTCTGTCACAAGAACAAAATATATCAATAGATTTCAGGTATAATGTATTAAATATAAATAACATTGACTTTGGATATCCATCCGTTTATTGTTAGTCATAATGTGCATGAACAAAATCCATCATACCTTTGCTTGGTTTCATTGTTGGAGCCTGATCATTGCAGATAATGAAGAATATTTTCACTTGTAGTATTTTAAAGCATCGATGGTTTTTTGATTCTTAGACCTGAATAGAGACACTGTAGGTGCTAGAGAATAAAAGAGACTGGATCAGGACATTGTGGAATGGAAAAAATGAATCAAGGCTGAGCAAGATAAAGTTTGACTCCTGTGTCAGAGGACGCCCTGGTCTCTGCATGAAACAGAATAACTGTCACATTAACAATCCTATAAATGTGTGTCTGACATCTCCTTAGTTCCTCACTGTGAAAACTAGCTGCCTGTCATTTTTAGGATCGTTTTACACAATTTGGGGCAAAAATACAAACACAGAAGTACAGACTGTAAACTTTGGGCTCAAAAGGAAGCAGGAGATTTGAAGACACGATGTTGACCTTTTGAGGTGACAGGAACTGTTTTTTTGCTTGTGTGTCCAGGAGGCGATCATGGATGGTACGGAGGTGGCAGTGTCTCCTCGCTCACTGCACAGTGAGCTGATGTGTCCCATCTGTCTGGACATGCTGAAGAACACCATGACCACTAAAGAGTGTCTGCACCGCTTCTGCTCCGACTGCATTGTTACTGCACTGCGATCCGGGTGAGTATTGCAGGGTTTTTTTATGGTTGTTTTAGTTTATAAAATGTCAGATAAACTGTGGATAATTGTCTTCACAAGCTCCAGAGTCCATGATGACAGCTCCAGATGTCTTGTTTTGTTTGACCAACAGCCCAAAACCCAAAGATATTCACTGTATAATAATGTAAGAGAGAGTAAAGTAGGAAATCTTCTCAGTGGAGCTGCTTGATCAGTGGCTCAAATGTGTGATAGTTTCCTGTACATTGCCTAATCAGTTAATCCACACACACACACAAACACAAGATCTGAAAATTGATGTGGACAATGCACATGATCCATAAACAACTTTCAGGTATCAAACAGGATCACAGGCTGATAACTTATTTTATAATAATAGAATAAAAAGCATCTTGTCAGTTGATGATGTGCTGCTGAGTGTTTACCGGTGACAACAGAATACCATGAGATTGTCTGTCTGGACATCTGTTGCTGTAATTCCATTTACATGACAGGACAAGTGCTACTTAGTACAGGCTGTAGCTGTGGCTCTATTTTATTTGCAGCGCATGAAAAGCACCTGGCATGACAAACACTTTATGTTGGAAAAGTTAGGAGCGGGAAACACACCACATTTCTCCTCCTCAGGAACAAAGAGTGTCCCACCTGCAGGAAGAAGCTGGTGTCCAGGCGGTCGCTGCGCAGAGACTCCAACTTTGACGCACTGATTTCCAAGATTTACCCGAGTCGTGATGAGTATGAGGCCCACCAGCGCCAAGTCCTAGAGCGACTCAACAGGCTGCACAACAAGGAGGCGCTGAGCTCCAGCATCGAGGAGGGGCTTCGCCAGCAGGCCCGCTACAGGTCTGAGAGGTGGGGGTGGAACCTCATGAATGCTGTGCTTGTGAGGGCAGGCAGAATGGTAGCATGTATGCTATTTTCTATCAGTGAGATGAAAGACATTTGTCAGCTATTACAGATTTTCACATTAGAATCTCTGGATGTTTTAGACCATTGTTGTCAGTGTCAAACATTTATAAGCAGGATTGTCAGCTACTTAACTCTAAAACAAGATTTCCCATCATCCCATCCCATCTTGTTTTTCTAGTTTCTGAATGACATTTCTCTTGACAATCACAATATCAAATTAAAAGCATCTTCATAGAAATTGCATCTATGTTGCTGACACCTGTTTTTACATGAAGTGATGCTTGTATTTATAAATTGAGGGACAGAAAAAGAGAGAGTATTAAGACGGATCACCTTTAACTCAAGCTACTCTACTTCAACCACATCCTATGGCCCTCATCATCAAATTAGACCTGAGGAGGCTGTAAATGTAGTTCAGCTTTGGGAAAAGCTAGTTAAGTGACATTTTAGTTAGGTGATGGACATAAATTGTAACTCTTCTGCAGCCAGTATAGAAATTTTAAAGCTCGGTCTTTGTTGTATTTGGCTCATAAACAATTTGAGACATGTTTGGGCTCTGCGGGATAATTTGTTGTAGTCATTAAACTTATTCTGCAATAACAAATATTCAAATATTTATCTGAGGTTAGGAAGAGCTTCAGTTGTTTCTGCTTCCCACACCACACAGAGGTTTTCTGGTTTTAATGCTAACAGAATATTCCAACAAATTACAGAACCTCTACTATTGACTACGTGTGATTACTAGTAAATGGCATAAACACACTGCTGTTGTCCTTACAGAATGATTCATTATAAACTTGGATTTCAGTTTTGTCCCTTGTTTCTGTTATGTATGATGGGACTAAACTCTGGTTTCCCTCGGCCCTGCAGGAACCACCGTGTGAAGAAGCCAACTCAGGAGAGTGACAACACCACCTTCAGTGGTGGGGAGGATAACGGTGATGCCCGCTCACACCTGTCCCACGACTCTGCCCCCTCACACACCCCCCACACCCCCCCCAGGGGCCGGCCCGGAGCCGCAAGAGGCCACGGGTGTCAGATGACGGCTCGGGGCCCGAGGGGGACAGTGGGAGCCCCACACCTCCACTGAGACACCACAAAGAAGGGCCGGCTTCAGAGATCGAGCTGGTGTTCAGGCCACACCCACAGCTGGTCCACACCCAGGACTACAACCAGACCAGGTGAGAGTGAACCGCATTGAGCAGACACAGGGAACTAGTTCTCTACTCACACTGATGTGAAATTTGTTCCTAGAATTTTTAAGTGAGCTGATCCTTAAATCCTACCTGAAACTGAATCATGGCAGCAGATCCCTAGCAAGCAAGAGCTAAATCACCTGAGTTGTCTTTGTGATGTAAGGGAAAAACAACTCCACTGAAGGAAATTGGAGCACAAACCTAAATGTGGATTGAGAGAGAATCAAAGGTGACACTCAGGAGCTGGATCAGTTTCAACGCATTATTTCTCAAATCCATTTAATGTCGGGCAGTTTTTTTTTTTTTTTATTTATTTAGTAAAAGCAGAGGCTGTCTGCAGGTCAGTACAATCCTAAAACGTCTTACATGACACTTTATATATAACTCTCCTATCCTCGGTCAGAATTAGAATCAGATATTAATAGAATCCACAATGTCAGTCTGTCCTCGTTTCTGATTAACTTTTCCTCTGCAGATACGTGAAGACGACAGCCAACGCCACAGTGGACCACCTGTCTAAATACCTTGCTCTGCGGATCGCTCTGGAAGACAGAGGGAGAGAGCAGGAGGGGGGAGGAGGAGAGGAAAAAGGAACAACAGGAGGGGGAGACATTGGAGAAGGCGGAGAGGGGTCGAGTCTGAGCAACATCAGTGAGAAGCAGTACACCATCTACATCATGACCAGAGGAGGACAGTTCTCTGTGAGTAGAACCTAGACACACCGGGTACATCCTAAGTCTCTTATATGACTCGTAAGATGAGAGGAAAGAGAAATTGCATATATCTGAAGTGTACAGTCATCAAGTGACTTCTGATGGAGAAGCTTGTCAGTCCATAGAAGACTGCGGTACAAGATGCTCTCATTTATCACGGCTCCTACAGTGGCCTCCTCGATCCTCACTCGACTGGAATGACTTCTGGGTCGAGTGAGGATCTATCATATGGGAGTCAGGATTTACTCACTCTTGCTTTCTTCACTGTAAAGACTTAGGGCTGTTTGGAGCTTTAGGGACAACATTTTCAACATATCTGGTGTTAGGTAATGAAAAGCTGAATGTGCTGAAGACACCAGAGTTTGAGAGAGTGCCCAGGTTTGGATTTGTAAGAGGAGAAACGGATCAGGAGGACAGAATCATGAGTGTACCAGCTGATTTCAGTTGAGCAGCAGGGATCCTCTCAAATCCAATTCTACTCTTACAAATCCACGCCTGGGTACTATCAATTTCTGATTGTCAAACTGGGTAGCGCTCGACATGTGGTTTATACATTGCCCAGCCTCTTTATTAGATACAGTCATTTGCCATTCAGGGCAACAGTTCAGCTTTATCATCTGTGTTTATGAAGCTCAGAATGTTTTTTTTTTTTTTTTGTGAAATTGTCAAATACATAAATTCAATTCTATGTTTATTGCTGAGGTCATAGTTAATGGTGATGAACTGGACTACATTATATTCAGAGGTGTTAATAATATTCTGACCATCTCATGTATATAGATGGGGAGGACAAAAACAGAGAAAATAGTCGGCTGCATCCTTTAACTGTCTAACTCCGGTGTCAGTGATCATCCACCCATCTCCGTTTCCTCTTCCCTCCTCTCAGACGCTGAACGGCTCCCTCACTCTGGAGTTGGTCAACGAGAAGTACTGGAAGGTCAGGAAGCCTCTGGAGCTTTACTATGCCCCCACCAAGGACCAGCAGCAACCCCAACCTCCCGCTGCACAGAGGGAGGGCTGAGGGAGTGCGTTTAACTACGCTGTCTTTCTGAAGGTGAAAGTTCAGTCACCACAGTAGTTTCATTATTTTCATTAGAATATCTTTGTTGGCATTACGTTGCTCTTATGTGGCCTAAGCTGTAAAATGGTCTCATTTGGAACATGAAATCTGACCTGAAACCTGATTTTTGAAGGGAAATCTTTTTCTGTTCACTTTACTGAGGCCCCTCTGGTAAATAACCAGCCTTTATCTGAAGTCCGTTTACTGGTTATGAGTTATGTCATTAGGGAGGCTTGGGGTTATAAACTGTGACTGATGGGCCTGCAGCTGAGTAGGACCAGTTCTTCTGGGTTTACTGATATGAACCACCAGTTGCGTTGGTTTTCCTTTAGTTTAAATATATGCAGCTAAGGAACCTTCAGTGATCTCAGCCACAGCTGGACTGATGTGCAGTACTGACTCGACATGTTTTGAGCAATCCTAGCACAGGTAGCCACATAACGGATATGAAAACTGGTTAACCAAGGCAATGTGCCAAAGCCCATTTCTGCCAAGAAAGCTAGAAATAATCTGTCAAATAGTAAAATACTATTTCAGACATAACTGTACTGATCAGTCAGCCTGTAGTACAGCAGTGTGAGAGGTTGTTCTAACACTACCTTAATTGTGTTTTTCTTGTCAAAATGTTTTTTTTTTTTCCATTTCCTGGCAGAACTAAGCATCCACAGTTATCCTACCAATTGCAATGTAAGGAAAAACTTACCTGACTCTGAGGAGGTGCCAGAATATCTGTCGCTGATTCAGATGACATGAACTGCTTGTGAACATTGTTAATTTCTATAAGACAAATGTGAAACGGCTGCTTGGATCTTTACATGAGATCTCTGTAGAATTCAAGTCCCTGAGCGACAGGGACAGTGTGGGACAGTCTGGCTCAAAACAGTGTATAAAGTCATTCGGCTTTGTCTGTGCTCTCGCTGACGCATTACTTGAAGACAGTGTAATGTTGTAACAGGATGCATACACATAGCAGTAAGTTACGTGTGCAGTGATTACACTTCTCATTTCTCTGTAAACAAACTATATCACTGCCAAAACCATCAGTTAGTTTTTCTAATCTGCTTCATCAGGTGTGAGACAGTGACTGGCTTGGTAGCTCTGCCATAATCAAACTGCCAAGCAGGAATTTTATTTTAAAGAGCACACATGCAGGTTCTTTGCTACTTTTACTTAAATTTAGTCACCAATGTAATCAGAGCTACGTAGACATGTCTGTGCACCCTGCGTCTCAGTAAAATCTAGCAAATATCTTTAAAGATGCAGCAGCCACCAACCATGACGAAGGTTAGAGCTCGTTAGCTTGCTCTTGGCTAATAATTTGCTTGAAACTCCTTTAAAGTCTGAGTTAAGGCTCAGTCTGACTTCTCTCTGCTCCACTTCTTCTGTCATATGCACTTTATATTTCCTGCAGCCATATCGCTTCTTACCTCGGCTTTAACGAAGTATTTGTATATAAAGGGAAATGTAATATTTCCTGTTTTGCTCTTGTGTAATTACGCCTCTTCCCTGTGTCAGCAACGCAGCACAATAAAACGAAGTAACGAAAGAGGTTTGCCGTGATCTGTTTAAACACAGGGTGAAGTCTGCAACATGTCACATTAGCATCAGTTTCCCATGTGTCCAGTGGGCAAGTCCAAACCTTTGTTTTACTCTAGAGGAAATACATCTGCAACACTTAACAAAACCCCAGTGTAAAGGTGTTACCTACTCACAGACCTCTGCTTATGTTGAAAAAGACACTGGCTGCTGTGACGGTTCCTCCTATTGATACTGACTACATCTTTAGCTACAGCTAAAATAAGGCTGGTCGGGATCGACTCCCACCCCTGCAGCAACAAACACCATCGTTGGAGATGACCTGCCTGATTTGTCAGGGCCAATGTGGACAGGAGGAGCGTGTACACACCAACTCCTCCAGCACAGTACAGGAGCATTGCAATGAGACAGAGCTGGACAAACTTTAACAAGAGAACTGAAGACAGTGCTGAGTGCAGTGGTCACTGTGTGCCCCCAGACACCCAGGTGTACAGGCAGTGGTGCAAAGCCAAGTACTCACTCCAGATCCTCCTGCCCTGGCTCAGTATGTGCATTTTAAGCTACTTCATACTTCTCCACGTTTCAGAAGAAAATTTCTTTTTACCCCACTACATTTACTATTATATCTTTAATAAATATTTTGTAGTGCTGAGTTTTTTTTATTTTGCCATTTTATTAAGTACTTTTACTTTTGGTACTTGAAATGTATTTTGCTTATACGTTTACTCTACCTCTACTTAATCAGAGCACTTCTTGTACTGTTTGGCCAGTTACTCCTAAATTAACCGTTTTGCTTCACCCAAACTTCCACTGGTGTCTAAACCCGAGCCCAGATCTGAGCAGTGAAACACACCAGGACAGGCAGAGCTTGTTAGCTGTGGTGATTTATTGAAACAAAGGGAAGCAGGGGACTTTACTTCTTCTTGGACACACCGACGGTGCGACCACGGCGCCCGGTGGTCTTGGTGTGCTGACCACGCACACGCAGACTGCAAGGAAAAGGAGGACATGGAGTTAAAAGAAGCCAAGTGCAGCATCCTCAGAAATGAGACCTAGTGTTCAACTGTTTTTAAACTTTTTCTTGCGAATTATCTGTCAGCTTGTTTGTTCTGATCAACCTATTTGATTATTTCACCCAAAGCCCAAGTTAACCTACTGTTGTTGAACCAAGCATGTACTTTTCCTACTACACAAAACCATGGAAACAAATATAATTTGAGAAGCTGAAGCTGCACAACTAATTACGTCTGTGTTATCGGTTTGTTTGTCAGCCTTCTCTATCTGAGCACCACAGACGCTGTTCACTGTTGCCAGATCTGTGCAAATATGCAGAACAGTGCAGCCTCTAAGTCACAGGACATGATGCTCATCTGTCTCACAGAAGACCTGATCAGATGTCTTACCCCCAGAAGTGCCTGAGACCACGATGGGCCCTGATCTTCTTCAGCCTCTCCAGATCTTCTCTCAATTTGTTGTCCAGACCATTGGCGAGGACCTGAGATGAAACAAAAGGAGATGATCATCATTCATCAGAAACAAGAACCCTCAACCCAAGTACAGCTGCGAAACTAGTGAGCAACATGCACAACAGGCTGCCTCATACAATCGATCTATGATTCAGCTGTGTTCAGGAAAAGGCTGGGGTTAATCAATCCTATCTCAGCAGACCTGCAGTTCTAGTGTGGTCACAGCTGAAAAGTGACAACTCAAGTGCAGACTAAAAAGTCAGCACACAGGCCGAAGGCGGCCTCAGCTGTAGCATCCTGTGTCACAACACAACAGTGGGTGGTGGTCCAACTGCTACAGCGGCTTTTCAGGGTCAGCTCGGCTGACAGATGACTTCACTTTTACTGTGTACAGTTATTTTGTAACATGTAGTAACGGGGCCAATTGTTTTCTTTAAAACCTGCGACTGAGGTAAGTGAAACAGCCTGTCAGTGCTCTGGTGGACAAATTGTCTGACACTGTTTTCAATCACTGGCCTAGTTTAGCATATGTAGGCAGCCTGACAACCTAAACTCGAGGACGATCACGCAGAAGGCCCAAAACAGGTGCTATGCTTCAGCTGAGAGACACCCAGCTCAACATTCCAGGTGACTTGAGGAGAAGGAGGTGTTCAGGGTGACCTGAGGAGAAGCAGGTGACCTTTGTCACAGTAAACTGTTTACTTTGTCTCCATTCAGCAGCTGACAGACATGCATCCACATGCAGACTGCATCTTTAATCAGCGCTGCTCACAGTGCCAATGCAGAGCGCCAGTGTAAGCCAGTCAAAACTCAACACATACCTGGAGCTCATTAAGAGATTCGACTGCTCTCGCTGCCAAAAGCAACAGTGAAGCATGCCACAACAAAGCGGCTCATTTTTCTAATGGTGATGTCCATGAGTCACGGCATTTTTGTATTCTGTTTAACCTGAATGAAATACAGTGTAGTCACCTGTGTCGACCAACATGATTTGAGGCTGCCTGTGATAATGTAAATGGCATTAGGGTTCACATCCCCACAGTTCAATGGGTTGCTCTGTCAGTGAATCTCTGCTCCTCTGCAGCTTGGTTCAAGCAATAACTGACATAACCAAAGGACTTTAGTTCATTATAAATGGGCTGAAATATTTTTATCCATGTCCACTTAATATTTGGTCACAGTACTACAGCTGCAGTGTGCTGTGGAAGCTGAAACCCGTTCATATAAGTAAAATGTTTTATGTAACATTGTCAAAGAGACAAAGATAATCTCACACTAATGACGTGCAGGGTGTGGGTCAAGCTGGTGACCAGGGGCAGGCTTACACACAGTCACCCACCTGGCTGTATTTGCCGTCCTTGACGTCCTTCTGCCTGTTGAGGAACCAGTCTGGGATTTTGTACTGGCGAGGATTCTGCATGATGGTCACCACCCGCTCGACCTGAAAAACAAATACAGCCATTACCTCAGTGGAAGCCTGATCTTATCACAGCAGACATCCCATAAACTGACAGCAAACACACCTGACATTAACCTAGCCTCAGCCCGTCATGTATCAGCACACATTCTGGTCACTGACAACCATCGGGAGATGTAACCAGCCACCGCTCTGTTGGAAAACATCTCCTCCATGGCACAATAAAGATTATATCCTCTTTGCAAAGTCACAACTTCCTTATCAAAGTAGTGGCTGGATCACACTTGTATGTGCAGCAGGTTAAAAATCTTTACAGTCAGTGGGTGGAATATTTTTTTTCCATCCGGATTACGGATGAGAATTTCAAACAATTTTCTTAATTCATAGTCGGCCACACTAACACTCACTGATTAATCGTTAATGGATGAGATATGTTTATTCATGATAAATTTAACTACTAACATGAGACATGTTTGCTGTCAAAATCTGAGTAAATTAGGAATTTAAAGATGTAAACAATGTCACATTTGTCTGTGGCTATTCAACAACCAGCCAGACAAAGAATCCTGGTTTTATACAAGATAATACGCGTATGACCGCTCCGGCTTGTGGGTCGTTCCCTCTAGGGAGCAGCACTCGTAGGCAGCTGAGCTGCTGGCCGTGTACAAATGCTGTCACTAAATGTATTAGTCCAGGAAATCTTTCAGTATTTACAGGTACTGCCACTGGAAAAAGGCAGAGCAGAGCGGTGCCACTTATACAGTTCATCAGTTGTGTTGATTCTGCTGGAAGCGAGTAATGCATGTTCTGAATGTTAGACAGCCAAGAGCATCACTGTAGCTGCACTGACAGCCCTCTCCCAGCCTGTGGTAACGGAGCCTGAGACAAGCAGCTACACCTGACAGAAGCCAGACAGCTACTCAGGAAAAACTCAGCTACAACACAACAGCAACAGTATGAGCACAAAAATATGCACAGCTACCGTTTATTTCTTACATGGCAAGGAGGCGCGTTTGTTTTACAGCAGGTGCTGCTTGTATTCAGGCGAGGCCAATCGATGGCCTGTCCTGTCATCTAGTGGTGTAACCAGGTTACTCCAGCACCCTGACAGTTAACACTGCATGTCCTCATATTCTGCACCGCTAGATTAAAATATTTAAAAAGATTAAACGATTACTGTAATTTCCGGACTATAAGCCGATACTATTTTCACACGCTTTGAACGCTGCAGCTTAAACAATGATGCGGCTAATTTATGGATTTTTACAGGCTAATGAGCTTCATGCTGCCAATACATTTAGCCTCGTCAGATCAGACCAATTAAATTACAGAACAGGTCACAGTGGACCAATGAAACTGTTCGAATTTAATCAAATGAACTCACTAAATTCTTCAGATCAGTCATTTTGCACTTCATGCACACACCCTCATCATGGAAAACGCATGAAATGCATATGATGCAGTTTTCAAGTTAAAGGCGATCGATCTGGTTGTCGAAGAAGGAAATTGAGCTGCTGCTCGTAAGCTTTGGCATCAGTGTGTGAGGAAGTAATTCTGAGGCTGTTCAATTCCGACACCGAAGAAGACAACTTTAGTGGTTTTAGTGCACAGGAGGAAGATTAAGATAGTGATCAATGACTTTTCTGGTAGGCTACTGTATTTTTTTTATTTTTTTAACCAGCCGTGTTACAGGCACTGTTTGGAAAAAGCATTTATTTTAAAGTAAATAAATCTTTGTGTACACCTGCGACTTAGACAAGTGCAGCCTACATATGTACAAATTTTTTTTTTCTTTTTAAATTTAGTGGGTGTGGCCAACTCTCCTCACCTCCTCCTCAGTCAGCTCTCCCGCTCTCTTGTTGAGGTCGATGTCAGCTTTCCTCAGGACGACGTGGGCATAACGTCTGCCAACACCCTGATAGAAGACGAACAAGGACACCAGTGATAGTGGTGGTAGTGAAGGCAAAATCAGAAGAGCACAAGCAGAGCCGATAATCTCAGAAGTATCAATACTGTACAAATCAAAGTGAAACATTCCGCTGCCTCTTCATGTTAAATCATCACAAGCAGCGTGTTTTCCACAGTGAACTCACCTTGATGGCAGTGATGGCGAAGGCAATCTTCCTCCTGCCATCGATGTTCGTGTTGAGAACACGCAGAATGTGCTGGAACTTCTCAGGGATGACCAGAGACTGAGAAAACACACATCAGGTTTACAAAATCTGGCACAGCTATTGTCCCTCATATAATCTAGTGCTGGTTCAACACTGATGGCAGTGACAAGAGCCACCTACTGGATCCGGTACATAGCATTTACAGGATGTTGGTACCATCAGTTAATGCAATAGCAAATGACTGCACTTCAGCATCCTACATGGGTCACATTCAACCAAACTTTAAAAACTGAGATTAAATTCAGGCATAAACAAAATATGCGTCGGGTGCCTTGATATCTGTTTACATTCATAAGCTCTTGCAAACTGATTTCTTAAGGACAACCTCATTCACAACAGGCGGCTACTTCCACTCACTGAAACCACCTACAGAGTCTGCAAAGACCAGCCACAGTGCATAGTTTAACATAAAAGCCTTTTAGAGTTATTTAGTTTGTATTGTTATTTTTAGAGGGCTCAGTCTCTGACTGGCAGCTCGTGTGGGCCAGATATATAAAAGTATGTGGTGGTGTGCATCTGCCGCTAGATTTTCTGGCTGTAGTTTATACAACTACATGAGTCGTTGTTAATCTGACCAACGACTTTTCATAATTTACTCAACTGCACATCATAGCTGCTCAGAGGATCAACTAACACGGATATCGTGGTTATAACAACATGGTAAGACCTCGTCTTTGGGGAAGCTAAAGCTAGTTAGGTTTTACAGCTCACCGCCTTTATTCAACCTACGAATTATTATTAGACCCGTTAGCAATGCCGGTCACATTATTCCAGTTCTTCTTCCAACCGGGAATAAGACAAGAATATACAAGATGTGGTCATAGAGACAAACTTAACGCAATCATTTACACTACTTAGCTATAATCAGTCTGTACCCCACACTCCAGCATCAACACTGAAATGTGTTTATATTCTACCAACAGTTCAACAGCAGACCATTTACACAGACTGTGAACGACTAATCGACAGTCTAAATGCATTAAACGACTGAAGTTAAAGTAGGATGTTTGCGGATTTTAAAATTACAGACTGGTGGTAAATATACACACCATCTTGGAAGTCGATTCCGTGCAAAGAGGAAGCAATAACTCTATCGCGAGAATTTGACCATACGCGCGAACGGAAGTCAGTCCGAGAATTTTCATCTGTCCGACCAGCAAATTAAACACCTATTAAATAAAACAAATAAATATGTTAACATTGTTACAAGAAATAAATGTACCTTTTAGCTTATTGTTGGTATTTTATTCATTTATTTCAGATAATATACAACCATGTCTTGTTCGGTTCATAAAGGTAAGGACGCCTTTTAATTTTCGGGGACGATGATGCGGCGGAAATGTACGCTTGTAGCTTTATTTTGATGTTAGTGTTAATTCACTGCAATGGCGGAGGAAGGCGCAGATGCAGTTGGAGCTGGCCCTGGCCTCGGCCCCGACGTAAACACAGCTGGAAACCAGACAGAAATCGCCATGGCGTATTTACAGGACGAGGTGACTTTAAATTACTTCTATTTTTATCTACAGTCATTGTGAAAAACTCGGTTTATACGCCTTTTCATTCCGACGGTCCTGTTAACTTTAATGACATTCTGGGACCATTATGAATGAGCTGTATGGTTAGATTTCGCTGACTGAAGATTGTTTTGTTAGATCAGCAGCTAGATTATTTAAAAAAGGAATTGTTCGCAAACAAGTCCTTTCCGGATTGTGTATTCTGTCGTGTCTATTCACGTGTCTTTAAGCTTATGTAGCCGTTAGCATCATGTCAAAATACGGAAATTTTTTCGAGCTCCTGAATGCACCTGAATGCACCTGAGGCAACGTCACCAGCGTTAAAACGGTTAAGCTGTTGACAGAAAATTAATCAGCAGCAATGATAATATTGATCATTCAGCCATGCGGGAGCGCTGCGCCTTAACCACTAGCCTACCAGGGACGGATGAACTAATTCTTTGCATATGACAGTTTTTTTTTTGTTTTGTTTTGTTTTGTTTTTTAGAGGACCGATGTAGACATTGCTAACCTCAACCTGGGAGAACTGGACCTCACCACTGATGAGTTTATCTTGGATGAAGTGGACAGTAGGGCAACATTTATCATGAATATACTGTATCTCCTATTGTGATCTGTATACAGAGTAGAACATACCATCACCATACATGCCATCACTCAGGGGTGTTCAGTATCTGTTACACCATGCAGTGCTAATACTCACACTGAACATGATTAGGTCCCAGTTATTTAATTTGCTGGAGTGTCTCAGGTAACCTCTGTTCACCAGTAAAGAGAAGTTGCTGCCCGAGTAAGTGTTGTGTTGTTGTATTCATCCTTTCGCTCTCTTGCAGTTCACATCCAGGCTAATCTGGAAGACGACCTGGTGAAGGAGGCACTCAAAACGGTGAGATATTACAACATACATGAGCAGTGTAGAATATGGATTTTAACAGCAGGTCTGAGAGGGAGATGGAAGCATTTTTAGCACATTAACTGCCATAACTACCAGCTGCTGTCTGTTTACATACTCAGCTTACAAGTTGCTGCTTTCACTCCCTAAACACAAAATAAGTCCAGTTTTGTAAGAGTTGATGATGAAGCAAATAAAATTATGTTCAATTAATTCAACATGGTGATTATTGGCCAAAATTAAGCATGTTTTTTTTTTTTTTCCATATTTTTACGGTGTATCAGTGTCTGTATTATAAATGTTATGACAGTGGCCTTTGCTGCCATCTGTTTTCAGGGTGTTGACCTCCGTCAGTACTCCAAACAGGTGGAGGCAGAGCTGCAGAGGATCGAACAGGCCTCCATTAAAGACTGTATCCTTCACAGCCCACACCTTAAATATCATGATGTTATAACACACTAGACGGACCTAGACCTGTTTCCGGCCTTTTCTCTGTCGCTTTGCTGCAGCTTTTACAAGTTTATTTTTACTTAAGTCTCTCTTAGGTGACGTAAAGTATGCACAGCTTCATGCACAGTTAGTGCTGATCTACAGGTTTTATGTTTGCTGCTTAACAGGCTAGAACTCCCTCCACAAACAAAACTGTCTTCTAAGTGGGACAGATGTTCATATACAGTTTGATTCCTAATGGAATTTATATATTTCAGCTTTAAAAGAAAAACCTGTTTCTGTCCATTGTTATTTTAATGGCCAGTGTTTAGCTAATTGTGCAGATTCTTTTATATAGTTTTTCCTTTTATGTAGAACTATGTCTTCTAATGCAGGATTCAAAAATACAGAAGAAACAGAATAAAACACTTCTTTAAATCACATTCAACAGTCAACAATATTTAGGTGTGAAAATACTGGATATTTATGTAAGTTTTACAAAAGCCTTATTGGCTCATTCCTATTGTCTTTGTTTGTGTGTGCACATTGTCCTAATGTAGGTCTGTGCTCATTATGTTAAAACAAATGTATTTTCATGCTTGGGGAGACGACGCGGAACTCGTCCACACATACAGACGTTGTCCTTTGTTTTCCTGACTGGTCGTCTGTTAGACATCAAGGAGAGTCAGAACATCGCTCTTCTGCACAATCAGATCACCGCCTGCGACTCCATACTGGAGGTAAGACGAGACGCCGTCATCCTGATCCCACAATCCACTTCAGAACGAGGTCAGCGGCCATCAGAGAGAGTCAGTAGAAGACATGTAGAACACAGGATCATAAATCTGTACATCTCTTTTTAATTAACCTTATCAGCACAGTTTTCTCCATAACAAATTTAAGTCTGAAAATGTCTATTGAGAATGAATTTAGTCTGGTCAGATAATGGACCAATCAGTGAACGGTTAGTTCATTATGTGACTCACTGCCTATATTTGTTAACAGCTGTTAAAATTGGAGGTAAAGCCTGGTTCTGCAGCAACATGGCCTTTATTGCTCTCTGTTTATTCAGAAACTAATTCTAAGTTTAATGTTTAGCCTTTACTTTCTAGAATGTATCACATGATTATTTAATGTCAGATTTATGATGAAAGACTAATAATGTCATCGTGTGTCTTCACTTTTGGTGGTTTTCACAGTGTCTGGATCTTGTGGTTCTCCCTAAAAGTTTTACTCAGACTTTCAGACCCCTAAATTAATCTGGTGTGCACAAACCCAGCTCGAGCTCTGTCCTCTTCCTTCCACATGTAAAACACAGATGTTTCTTTTCAGATAAGATAGAAGGTTATTCATCCCAAAGAAAACTGAACTTTGATAACAAAGTCCTCACAGTTGCCCTCTGTCTCTGCATTTGTTCCTTCAGCGTATGGAAGGAATGCTGAGCGGCTTCCAGAGCGACCTGTCCTCCATCAGCAGTGAGATCCAGACTCTGCAGCAGCAGTCGGTCAGCATGAATGTTCGGTTGAAGAACAGGCAGGCTGTACGCAGCCACCTCAGCCAGCTGGTGGATGAGTTGATTGTGCCTGGAGCCATGATCTCGTAAGTGAGATGGAGAGAGTGGTGGCTCACAGCAGCTGTTACTCCAGGTATATATCCTGTAGATGTGTGGAGGAGCACAGTGTTATGGTCTGACGCTGTCCCGTCTCCTCTCAGCACCATCCTGGACAGTCCTGTGACGGAGCAGGAGTTTCTGGAGCAGCTGCATGAGCTCAACAGCAAGATCAACTTCGCCAAGGAGCTGAGCTTTAGAGAGACGCTGGCCTGCTCAGACATCCAGGACATTGTTGACCGCCTGAAACTCAAGGTGAGACGGAGGTGTCAGAGGAGAGGAGGATGTTTGTTTTAAGTTTGTTCCTGCACTAAAATTTAACTGACGATTTTCAGGTCTTATCCTCCAGGTTTATTTAGAATGAAACACTTGAGAAACAATAATCTAAAAGTCCAGTAGAAATTTGGGTCATAGAAATAAAGTTTGAGGTCCATAATTGGATTAACAGCAGTTTCCTATTTGCCCTCCTCACACAGGACTCTTTGCTTTTTGTTTATCCTTAAAATAATTGTTTTAACTAGTCGCTCCTTCTGGTCAGGTTTTATCCCTTTCACATTTAATTCCTACTGACATGAAACTGAATTAAAGTGTATATTCTTACCTCAGGCTGTGTCAAAGATTAGAGAGTTCATTCTGCAGAAGATCTACTCGTTCAGGAAGCCCATGACCAACTACCAGATACCACAGAACACGCTGCTGAAGTACAGGTGAGTAGCCAGACTCGTCTGTTCTCCATCGCTATGTTTGCATTTGACATGATATTTGAAGCTATAAATGTTATATAAATTACCTCCCGTTGCTTAGTAGAAGAGACAAAAAGACCAAGCAAAGGAAAAAGTTTACAACAGTTTTTTTTTTTCATGCAGCATTTTATGAAGATCCAGTTTAATATTTTGTTGATATTCTCAGATGTAATCATATTTTGTTGTTTCTGTGATGATGCTGTGTTATCTTTGTTAGAAAACATAACAGCACAGCTGCCGTTTTGTATTTTCAGCAGACTATAACTTCTCAGGTAATCAGTTGCCATCAAACCCAAAAGTTGATTCTGAGCAGTGGATTTTCATATATTGTTACCACTGAAAAATTAGTGTCCTGTGTGGTAATAATCCTTTAATCCACTGTTCATTGTCCACCTGCTTTAGATTTTTTTATCAGTTCCTTTTGGCCAATGAGAGGACGGTTGCTAAGGAGATCAGAGACGAGTATGTGGACACAATGAGCAAGATTTACTACAGTTACTTCAAGTCGTACAGTGGCAGGCTGCTCAAAGTGCAGGTCAGTATTCTCACGCTGGAAACAGCAAAGTCTCGATGTCTCACAGCTCATTTCTGTTTTATCAGACTTTAACTTCAGACTGAGAATTCTTACACAGGTACAGCAACATTCAGCTCTGTCTGGTCCCTGCGCTTTATTTTAGACAAGCTGTCATCAGAGGTCAAATGCTTTCTTCTAATTTTCAGCTCATGAGTACTTTTAACTTCCCTGCAGATAACCTTCCTGAGCAGGGTGTTGTTTTCAGCCAAAGAGTTCCTCGGTAAACAGTTCAGGTATATATATATACAAAATAGCAGTATTAACATCAACAAACAGTGCAAACAATGCAGAATAAGCAGTATAAACAGACAGTAAACAATGCAGACAGCAAAGGAATGTTCATTGAAATGAGATAAATAGGGATAAACATCAGCTGATGTATATCAGATTTTCCTGATAAGCATGTTGTATCAGCAGCTAACAGACAGGAGGTCATTCTGACTCGGAGTGCCTGAGCTGCTCCGACACCTACCAGGTTCTTTCCTTTTACTCAGTCCTTCTGTGTCCTGTGTGCAGTACGAGGAGGTGGCAGACAAAGATGACCTGATGGGAGTGGAAGACACGGCAAAGAAAGATATCCTTTCAACAGTGTGTGTGTTTAAAGTGAAGGCGCATTCACATCAGTAGATCTTTCCTGTTTGTACAGCGTATTCAGTAGTTTCATTGTGATGCTGCTGTCATTTTTACCTGACAACAGGATGTGGGCAAACTAGGAACATCAGAATCACAATCAGCTTTATGGGCCAGGTGTGTTGGACACACAGGGAATCGGACTCTGGTACAGCGGTTCTCAATGTACATGTACAGTGTTCTTCTGTAAACCAGCAAGTAGACAAGTAAAACCTGCGGCCACTGTTTTCAGCAAGCATGCTGTGATAATCCCACTGTGCAGGACCTGACCAGTATTTCACAAAAATTAACTAATAATAAATAATTAGTATAATAAAACTATTTTTTGTTTCCAGCACCATGAATCATCTGAAAACTCTTTAATAATAAAAATATTACATGTAACTAAGGTAAACACAGGAAGCTGACACTTAAGGAAAACACTGTAACAGAGGATTTTACACATAAACCAAGTGGCAAACAGCTGTTTTATACAAACATAAAAAATGAAGCACTCAGACAAATTCATCTCCTGAGTCTTTGTCGGGGTCCCAAACCACAGGTTGGAAACCACTGACTCAGATGAAAACATGTTGGAGATAAGGTCTTATTTTGAGTTGCTGCACTTTCAGGAACATTCATCATATTAGTTAAAACATTTTTCCGTGCGTGTGAACTGCATCATCTCAGGTAGTTGACGGTGTAATGGGCTGAGCAGGCAAAGTGCCAGAACATGTGTGGCTCCTCTCCTGGCGCCACTGACATGCAGAGCTGACAAAGGTTGAAAGGAAAAAATGAACCTCAGGCCACACAGACGGGCGAGGTCATTCAGCAGGTGGCCGAGGGCATTCAGCAGGTGTGTGTGTGTGTGTGTCTGTGTTGTTCAGGTGTGCCTTTGTAGCGTTCATGACACACATACCAAACATAAGAACACACGGCTCAGTCACCTTGATGACTCTGGAGGACTATAATCAAGTCATGTGACCCACCAACGCTCCTGTATCACGCAGAGTGTGTGAAACTCCTTGACTCCGTGCTGCAGGTTTCTTCTCTAAACCGTCTCTGAAGAGCAGGAACACCATCTTCACTGTGGGCCAGAGGGGGGCCGTACTGAGTCCCGCTGAGCTGGAGGGGCCCATCCTGGTCCCACACACAGCTCAGAGGGGAGACAGCAGGGTGAGACCTTGCAAACATCCACTAGCACAACACAAGGAAGGAATTCACACATTAGACTGATGCGCCCAAAACACAGAGGGCCAGCACACCTAAGGACAGAATGTACTGACATAAAGCTGATGATTGTTGTCATTGTTCATTATGGCCTTTAGTTTTTGGGTTGATTCATTCGTGGTGTGGTGCATAAAACGTTAATCCCCAGAGTCCAAGGTGAGTCTCCTCAGGGCCTCTGTTTATGCCATCAGCAATCCACAAACTTTTGTGACACAAGTGCAAAGACACACTCAACCAATGTGAATTTGGCATTTCATCAAGAAAAATGACTCAAACCCGCACCGGAATAGTTCGGTGTAGTCAGCTGACTAATCATAGTAGAACAAAAGATCACAAAACTAAAATAAAAAAAGGAAATGGTTCATATTTCCTGTCATCTCTCATCTGAGGCATAAAATGTTGAATAATGACACTTTGTGTAACACACAAAAAGATGCTTCACAAAAGATGAAAATGGAAGAAATAAACATTAAAAACAGAAGAACAGATTTTGTAAGTGAGACAAAAGAGGCATTTAAAAACATAAAATCAGTGGTAAATGTTTGACAGTACCGTGAATGCGGTTAGAACCTAGTAAATGTAGGAGTATGCCAGAAAATATGAACCTCAGGTTTCTTGTTGCTCAGGGTGGATCCAGTGTTCCAGGTGTGTGTCGACACTGACACCTTGTGATAAACTGTACTGCTCTCCCTTTTTGACTCCTCACCTGCTCCTCCAGTATCCCTACGAGACGCTGTTTCGCAGCCAGCACTATGCTCTGCTGGACAACGGCTGCAGAGAATACCTTTTCCTCTCAGACTTCTTCATGGTCACAGGAAACTCCGCCCTTGACCTCTTCAACAGCATCATGGGAAAAACTCTCAGCATGTTCTTGGTATGTTGGGCACAGTGACTGCTGTCATGACAACACACACCCGCAACACGTTATAATGAAGACTTTGGTAGACGGTGCTAAAATTAAGGCTGCAACAATAGTCTCATTTCCTGTTGCTGATTCTTGTATCGCTACTCCCTGTGTTGTGCAGAAGAGCATGTCCACCTACGTGTCTGACTGCTATGACAGCATCGCTGTCTTCCTGTGTATCCACATCATCCTCAGGTTCCGAGCCATCACCGCCAAGAGGAACATCCCCGCTCTCGACAAGTCAGTGTTAACTAGCCAGATTTATTTCAGCTGCTGAAAGTGAAACCTGGAGTTGTTCTTATTTTCCTCAATCAGTAATGAATAAAATGTGGTTCTGGCACTACGAAGGGCTTTTTTATATGTTATTAAACTATCTTTCCAAACTATGAAAGACTCTTCTAACTTAGCGTGATGACTGCTTTAGGGAGCGGAACTGTGACCTGTACCATGGGGCCGCCTCTGTTTCACTGCCTTCCTTTTCAGAGGGGCAACAGTATCAAGTGTTGTACACAGGGAGGCTGCAGCACTATTAACAAGATTATCGACTTGTGTGGGAGTAAAGTTAAGGTGGCCTCCTTCCACTGTGTTGGCAAATGGCACTGAAATAAAGACGGAAACTTCTATTGGGAGAAGCTGCAGGACGTTTTTAGAAAAGGAAGTGAAAGCTGCTCACTTCTCTGTGACACCTGTGTATTTTTGACCTTGAGCAGTTATTGTCCTTCAAAGGTCTTGACCCTCACTCAGCAGTTTTCACCCAGCAGCACTAAAGATACTGTAGCTCTTCTTAAGTCACGTGGTTGCTTCATACCCACACTGAAAATCCTGCAGAGACAATGCAGAGCTCTTACAGTGTATGAGACTGAAAGATTTAATTGAATTCACTCTCCCAGTGTATTCTTTATTTGAGTGAGACGCTGAGAGACGGCCTGATCTGAGGCTCTGACTCTGTCCTCACCTGTGCGTCAGGTACTGGGAGGCGGTGTTGGAGCTGCTGTGGCCGAGGTTTGAGCTCATCCTGGAGATGAACATCCACAGCATCAGACACACAGACCCTCAGAAACTGGGGGTACTGGACACCAGGCCACATTATGTAGGTCCACACACACACACACACACACACAGTGCACTGCCCTCAGCCCTCGTCTGTGTTTGCCACGCAGACACAGCAGCACTTTTGTTGTGTTCCAGATCACTCGGCGTTACGCAGAGTTCTCATCAGCCATTGTCAGCATCAACCAGACCTTTCCCAACGAGAGGACCAACGCTCTGCTGGGACAGCTACAGGTGACACACATATCAACATCAGGCTAAAGGCCTTTTGGGACAAGTGGCAACATCTGGTCAAACTGTTCATGTAACAAATGAAGTCAGTAGAAAAACTGCATGGAACATTTTTCCAGGTTGAGGTGGAAAACTTTGTTCTAAAGATGGCAGCAGAGTTTCCCTCCAGGAGAGACCAGCTCATCTTCCTCATCAACAACTACGACATGATGCTCGGCGTCCTCATGGTGAGCTTCACAGCCTGCATGGTCACACAGTACATTCACACCAGTCTGAACAGCTTGTATTTTCTGAATATCCGTTGTTAGGTGGAAATGTTTATGACAACTTGTCTGTTTGATTTCATTGCAAACGTCCTGCAATTAACAGAAGAAAAAAAAATCTCTCCTGACCCATGACACTGTGTGATGACTGTTTCTCCCATGTGTGTCCAGGAGAGGGCAGCAGACGACAGTAAGGAGGTGGAGGGTTTCCAGCAGCTGCTCCTGGCCAGGACACAGGTAAACACACACCGACACACACGGGTGTTACAGCAAACCAGGCGTCTCTTCCTTCTGTTCCTGCTTTACCTCTTGGATATGTAGATATACTTAACAGTCAATTTCTGCCTCTATAAAAGTCAATAAAGGTAATCAGAAGGTAGAAATGATATGTGACAATATCCTAGTCATACAAATTCTTAGATATGTGAAGTAACACAACACACAGCCCATGTGATACATTTTGAACAAATCAAATTTTATTTGTATAGCGCCAAATCACAACAGAAGTCATCTCAGGACACTTTACAAAGTAAGGTCTAGACCTTACTGTTATCAATATTATTACATAGGGAAAACCTAACAAATACCCCTTGAGCAGCACTTTGTGGCTGGGGACTGCTCGTCAGAGATATAGAGCTCCAGGGCCAGGGCAACCTGCAGAAAGGTACAGGGAGAGAGAGAGAGACACAAAGTAATGTGTAATGGTGGCATATAGAAGCATAGGGAGAAAGAGGAGAGGGGAGGAAAGGATGTTATAACATGAATAAACTCAGAGCATCATGGGCCCCCCAGCAGCCTAGGCCTATAGCAGCATAACTAAGGGAAGGCTCAGGGTCACCTGATCCAGCCCTAACTATAAGCTTTATCAAAAAGGAACGTCTTAAGTCTAATCTTAAAGGTAGAGAAG